CATCCATCCATCCATCCATCCATCCATCCATCCATCCATCCATCCATCCATCCATCCATCCATCCATCCATCCATCCATCCATCCATCCATGTCTTTATGTGTTTGCTGTCATGTGGGGGCTGGTAAAAATATTAAAACAATAAAATTACTAACAAAAACAAGTTATTGCCATATTTTTTGTATTTTAATGTGAAGCCCCAGGTTATTTCAAATAAGACAGACTCATTGGTCAAAGCCTGATTTTTTCTAGTTTAAGAAAATAATGGACCTTCCTAAGTGGAGCTGCAGATTTCTGATTTAAGTGTTAGCCTTCCTGCAGAAGAGTTGTAAAAGTTTGTTTTTTTAGCTGTAGAGATATCAAGTAAAGTGGGCCAAACTCTGAAACAAGGAAGTTAGTGACTTCCACTCTGGTTACATTGGACAACATAAAAAAAAAAAATAAAAAAAAAAGAGTAATTTGCAGTGGTCTGTTGGCATCGTTCACACCAAGAACTGTCAAATGTTTCTGTGAGACTGATTAAGGATGAAATTTTGTACTAAATTATGCCTATCAGACCAACTCATTGATCCACCTCTGGGTCTATATCTGAGCATCTCACTGATGTACTGCTGCTCAACAGAACCATGGATTCAATGGAAGACAGTCCTCAACTACGCCATAAGACAAGAACTACACTGTTTCACATGCAGAAGCTGATTTACAAAACTAAATGTAAAATATTTTTTCAAATAAAAGTAAAGTAAATTTAATTTTTTAATGTAAACATATACAATCCTAATTAAACCTTTTGTTGAATTATTTAGTAATTCTTCACATTAGTCAAACCAAAACATAACATCTGGAGTCAGATGTGTTACATACACTCACAACTAACACTTTTCCTGTTTTAGGTTTTCTGTTTTTAAGAATCTTTTCAATAAAACATCAGTTAAAAATGATTTATTAAAGTTTTAGCAAAATGATAGTATTTTATTTTGAAAACAATTACCGGAAGTGTAAAAGTGAACGCGTTGTGTTCCGGCAGAGTTGCCAGATATGCGACAATCATCGTGTTTAAACGTTTTTTTAATGCTCTACAGATTTGTGATAAATGACTTTTTAAAGTTTAGAGGTACTGGAGGTCCTGGACTGAATAAAAAATATATAGTTTTATCAGAACCCAGTCAGCTCAAACAACATGTTGGGTCCAATCCGATCAGCTTGTAGCGACGGTGTGAGTTGTCGTCATTTCTTGTCTGGCAACCCGGTGTTCAGGAACTGTGGTCCCGGTTCGGACAGCTCAGCTCTGTAACATGAGGACGTATCTCATCTCTGACCTGAAGCAGCTTCGTGTTTGAAGTCCGGTCCGGACTAGACCGCCCTCCCTGAGGCTCGCCTCTTCTGTAGGTAACCAGAACCGAACCTGTTTCGGACGAACCGAACCCCACAGTTAGTTTACAGAACAAACAGTTAGACGCGTTGAAACAGGCTTTAAACTTCAGACAACATTTAACACACTTCTGTCCGGGTTCTAAGGAAAACCCTTAGGTCCAAACAAGTTCTACAGACCCGAACCTTTAAAGAGAACACCGACCCGTGACGTCACAGCGCTACAGGTGAGGTGGCACTCCAGGAGCTACTTGTCACAAAAACACATGATTTATGTTCAACTTTTTTTAGTGATTATTATTATTATTATTATTATTATTATTATTATTATTATTATTATTA